CTATCTAAACTACACGGGTTTGTCAATATAGGTCTTAAGTCTGGTTTTCACCTATTTGAAAAATGTTGACCTTTTGAACATATGCAAAAGAATAATCCGCGTTATTTGTTGTGAGACGATCGTCAACAAGGAGTCCCAATAACTCGTTATTGCGTTAATTCCCTTGGTTACATTAATGAGCAAGTTCAGTTTCTTTATTACACATTGATAATATTTATAATGCCCCACATATAAGTATAGGTGATATATTCATTTGACATGTATGTATATGTATAAAAAATCATTACAACATTTTTTCTTTAAATTATATATTTGCTATGCATGAATTGTGCTAGCAGCTAATGAAAAGTTGAAGTCAATCTGTACCGCGTTGACATTTTTTTCACTACCAAAAAAAGTACAAAAAAGGTTGTACTATGATTTCACACTAAGACCTTCTCCAACCTAAAAACTCATTCTCAAACTCATTTTGCAGTATTTGTCACATCAAACAGTAATTTTTCTCCAACCGATTAACTCATTCTCAATCCCAAAAGAATATTATCGAAATATTCTCTCACATAAACTTTTACGCATTTTCAATAACACCCACATATTTAATAAGTTTACAAATTAGACTTAATATTATCTTATATTCAATTTTAAAAAATATATAATAATAAATTATAGATTGGCAATATGTACACCTACAAAATATTGAAATACATATTTAAAATTAATTTTCTTATTTAACTTCAAAAAATATTTTAGAAGGATCATATGAATTTATTTCCAACCATTTATTAGATTGATAATTAAATTGAGTTTCCAAAACAATATCTAATTATTACATTTCATATAAATAAAACTAAATATCTAGAAATTCAATATATATATAATATATATATATATATATTTATTATGCAGAAATCCATACCTCATGCAAATTAATAGGCTTCATACCCACTATGAAAATAAAAAATAGTTACTTAAAGATTTTTACAACAAACAAAAGGAAATATCCATGGCTGTTTGTAATATGGGGTGATATTACAATTTTACAAAACAAATGTGTTGGTGAATAGGAAAAAAGCATATTTGCGTTTATGGAGACCGAAATTTTAAAAAGACCCATTTTGAGTTTGGGTTTGAGTCTCGGTTGGAGCAAATTTACTGCATAATTTGGGTTTTGAGTATCGGGTGGAGATGCTCTAATTCTCCATCTCAAAATGCTACACCAATAAACTTTTATATCTATAACCAAGACAGTCAGCTTACGTTGTTTGTACGAAAGTACAATCTAACTTATGCAGTATTACATATTTTTGTAGTGCAAGCGGGGTGAGCAAAATCGAATTGAAATCAAAAAATCGAGCTAGACTATATTTCGTTTCGGTTATTCTCTTTAGAACTGTAGTTCTGTCATATATTTTTCGATGTGAATCCGTCAAATTAAGAACTTTACAATTATGGCTTTTTATTTGTGCAGATCGGTGCGGTTTTACACTACACTGCACCATTGCTCGGTTCTACATAACCATACAGTTGTTTAAAAGCATCTCCAATGGTCTTTTTATTGCTTTATTTTGTCTATTGCTTTATTTTGTTGCCATGTGGCACAAAAATTATGTGACATAGAAAATGTCTAGAAAGCTTTCTAGATGTATAAATCACTGTAATTAATTTCCAATTACAAATGTACATACTACAAATTTAAGTACAATCAAAACATTTTTCAGCCATCTCAAATTTCAGTCAGTGGCTCTTTACAAAAAAAGGTTAAAAATTAAAATAACGAAATAAAAGAAATTAAAAACCAACACTTCGAAAAAGATTAAATATAAAAAATGAAAAAGAAAAAAACATGTCACGCTATCTCAAAATGGATGAACATTTTTGGTCAACCCACCGTTGACGTTGGTGAAGAACCCCACAAGCTCCGGCCGGTAGGGCAAATACGACCGCCGCCGCTCCTCCTCCTTAGCCTTACTCCTCAAATACACCTCGTGGGCCGCCTCCGATGACGCCGTCTTTTTCGCCCCTTTCCCGCCCTTCTTCCCCTCTTTCCTCGTTTTCACACCTGCCGGCGTCGGCTCCGCCCGCTCCTCCGCCGGCGCGCCGCCGCCACCGTTCAGGAACACGAACGCGTCCCTCCCGTCGCTGTTGGACCGGATCCCGACCAGTTCCTTGAACCGCCAGATCTTGGAGAACCCGGTCGAGTTGCTCTTTTTGCAGACCTGACCCGCCGCCGCCGGCGATGCCTCCACCGCTTTCCGGCTCGACCACTCGCACACCGGCCCGACGATCTCGTCGCTCCCCGCCCCGGATGGCCCCACCCCACCTCCGCCGTCTGCCTCCACGAAAATTTTCCTCACCGGCGGGTTCAGGGGAAGACCCGCCGGACCCTCGCCGGAAAACGGAGAATCCCGGCCAAAGAGCGGGTAAACTGGCTTGATCTTGCCGTCGGCGAACGCGTCCTCTGCCGCGATCGGTGACGTGCTCGGCTCGCCGCAGTCGAAGGAGAATTCCTCTTCCTCCTCCTCCTCATCTTCGGAATCTTGAAATCCGGCGCCGTCTTCTTGCAAATGTCCGGTGACATTCAGGTGGGTGTAGAGATCCCGGCTTATTTGGGCCTCCAATTCGAATTCTTGGCCCGTCCCATTTAGCCTCTGTTCAACACTCCCCTGCATACTGTGAAAGTTTGTCCCTTTCCTTGCTTCTTTTTTCTCAGGAGATTTTCTTGATTTGATGCTGATTTTTGAAGCTTATTTTTTTCAGAGTGAGAAGAAAATTGAGGGTATTGTGAGATTTTCTTGATTTTATGCTGATTTTTTGAAGCTTGTTTTCTAGAGAGATAGAAAAATTGAGGAGTTTAGTGAGATGAAATGAAGGCAAAATGGGCTTATTAAATATGGGTTTACTATATATATATATATGTGTGTGTGTGTGTGTGGTTGTGGCTTGTGAACACAAAAAGTTTGGTTCTTTATAGTGTTTTTTTAACTTTTCAATTAATGAATTAGTGTGAATTTGCAGCCCAAGTTTGAACACATACTGAAAATGTTGTCTGAATGTGATAAAAATAGCAAATCTTTTTACTTTTGAAAGGTCTTTTGTTTGGGGAAGAAGGAAAGTTATGTGGGGAGGAAGATGGGACGAAATTTCTACTGCGTGTCCACGTTTTGTTTGTTTGTATATTTAATTTATTTTATTATTTTTTTGGAGGGTAGATGAATTAAATTGGAACATTTTTATTTTTTTTTTGTATTTTTTTTTTTTGTATTTCTAAAGCTTTTGACTTTTATAATTTGAATTTGGGTTTGACGGCTGACTCTCCACAACAATTTGCAGGTTTGAGCTCCACGTGTGGATCAGTGATGGGCTATCCTCTATTGTTTAGAGGCTACGGTCCCCTTACAGAATCATTCCGTTGGGGTATGTAACTGTTAGATCAATTATTTTCGACGACGATTAGATGATGATTTAATGGTTACAAACTCTGACGGAATGGTTCCGTAGCAGGACCGTAACATCTCCCTAAATTAGCTAATATTAAGTAGCATTTTCTTGATTTTTTTTTCTTTGATAAAAGGTAGTACAATATCAGTGAAAATGAAGTTGTGAAATGAAATGAGTCATCTGTGGAAAATTTCGATATGACTCGTTAAAGTTTGAATTTGATCCGACTCTATTTGTTTGATAAATAAATCGAGTTTGATTTCGTTTATTACTCATTCAGTTAACGCATCGACTTAATCTCGATCCATTTAAGCTCGGTAATAGGGTTTTTACATAATTTTTTATAGAATGCACCTAATTAGTTTGGCTCAATGATGCTCGAGCTCGTCTTATTTAAAACTCAAGTTCATCTTGCTAATATAGATAAACAAGTTGAACTCGAGCTTTGTAATTAATGAATTGATTTGGTTCGTCTTTGTAAAGTTCAAGATTGCGTTTGAGTATTAAAATCTTCAGTTTGACTCGGCTCAGTTCGATAAAAGCTCGAATCCACGCTCGAGAATTAAAAACTCGAGCGGGGCTACAGCTCTAGCTAGCTCCAAATAACAACTAAAGATTGTGTTTGTGAGAAAGTGGAAAAAATATCTGATGTATTATTCACAAGGACATATACATATATATATATAGATACATAGAAGGGCCTAAGCCGCCTAAGATGACCTAAACCTAACTTATTGTACAAGAAATCTTTTAACATAACTAACACCCCCCCTCAAACTCAAGGTGGTATAGTGGAGATCAACTTGAGTTTGCTAAGAAGTAAACAAAAGCGACCAGGAAGGAGAGACTTCGTGAAGACATCTGCTGTTTGATCTGCAGAGGAAACGGAAACAAGCTTCACAGTCCCAAGTGCAACATGCTGTCGAATGAAGTGACAATCAATCTCAATATGCTTGGTACGCTCATGAAAGGTATCATTATGAGACATCTTTATAGCACTCTGACTATCACAATGTAAAGCAGTAGACGCCGACTGAGGTGCACCAAGATCTGTAAGTAGTCGACGCAGCCATAATAACTCTGAGGTGGAATCAGAAAGGGCACGATACTCAGACTCAGCACTCGATCTGGAAACCAATGTTTGCTTCTTACTGCGCCAAGAGACAAGTGAATCACCCAGAAAGAAGCAGTACCCAGTAATAGAACGACGATCAGTAGGATCTCCAGCCCAATCTGCATCAGAATAACCGCTAAGCGTCAAAGAAGAATGGGCCGAGAAGTGTAAACCATGCAATAAAGTGCCCTTCACATAGCGAAGGATGTGCAACACAGCAGAATGATGCGTGGTTCGCGGAGCAGCCATAAACTGACTCACAATATGAACAACATGAGCTATATCAGGCCGAGTGACAGTCAAGTATATCAAACTCCCAACAAGCTGACGATATAACGTAGGATCCTCAAGAAGAGAGCCATCAAGTGGAGTAAGACGAACATCATAATCAAGTAGTGTGGAAGTTGTCTGACAATCAGTGAGACCGGCCCGAGCAATGAAAGATCAGAGGCATACTTGGCTTGAGACAAATAGAATCCATCAGACGAATCAGAAATCTCAAGACCCAAAAAATAGCGGAGCTAGCCCAAACTCTTCATCTCAAAATGCTGACGAAGATAATCCTGCAAATTGTAAATACCGGTAATATCATCCCCCGTGATGATCATATCGTCACCATAGAGTAGCAAAATAATGATCCCGGAGGAGGAGCACCGAAGAAATAAAGTAGAATCGTGATCACTCGTAGTGAAACCAAACTGAAACAATGCAGAACTGAACGTGGCATACCAAGCACGAGGCGCTTGTTTCAAGCCATACAAAGCTCGACGTAGACGACAAACTTTCCCAGATGACAATGATCCAGGAGGAGGAGTCATGTAAACCTCCTCAAGCAAGGCACCATGTAAGAAGGCATTCTTGACATCTAACTGTAGAAGAGACCAACGACGAACAACAGCAACTGCAAGTAAACACCGGACAGTAGTAAGACGAGCAACCGGTGCAAAGGTCTCTTCATAATCTATGCCATACTCCTGTGAGTAACCCTTAGCAACCAAACGAGCTTTGTAGCGCTCAATAGATCCATCTGAATTTGTCTTGATCTTATACACCCACTTGCATCCGATGGGAGTCTTGCCAGCAGGTAAATCCACCAAATCCCAAGTATGAGTCTTTTCTAAGGCCTGTAATTCCTCATTCATAGCTTGTTGCCACAATGGATCAGCATTCGCCTCACGAAAAGACCTAGGCTCATGATGAGAGAAAATGGCTGAATAACAATGAAAGTCAAGTAAGTGAGAAGGGGGACGACTTACACGGGTTGATCGTCTGTGAGCAATGGTGGGCGAAGGGACAGAATCAAAAGAGGACTCAACAGGAACCGTTGGTTCAGGATGCGCAGGTGGAGCCACTCCAGAAGACGGAGGCATGACAGGCGTGTCAATGAGCTGTGAGTCAGGACAAGTATCTGGAAAGAGATCCGAAGTAGTGGACATGAAGAAAGGGGACGACGAATCAAAGGGAATGTGAAATTTGGACAAGGAAGAAAAAGTAGTATGCTCTCAAAAAGTAACATGACGCGAAATACGCAACCGATTAGCAATAGGATCCCAACACCTAAACCCTTTATGTTCTACCCCATAACCCCAAAAACAACACAGACGAGCCCGAGGTTCTAATTTAGTCCGCTCATGAGATGGGAGAAGAACAAAACAAACACAACCAAAAGGGCGTAACTGAGTATAATCAGGTGACTGACCGTACAACCTCTCAAAAGGACTGATATCTCGAAGAACCGAAGAGGGTAATCGATTGATAGCATAAATAGCAGTCAAGGCTGCCTCACCCCAGAAACGATCAGGACACTGGGCAGAAAGGAGAAGAGCACGAATAGTATCAAGAATATGACGATGCTTGCGTTCAGCCCGTCCATTTTGTAGAGAAGTATAAGGACATGAACGTTGAACTACTGTGCCCTGATCAGAAAGAAATTGTAAAAAGGTAGAATCTTTGTACTCAAGGGCATTGTCAGTACGCAATACTTTTATAGGACAAGAAAATTGAGTGGGAATCATTCTAGCAAATTGAATATATATAGTGGGCAACTCAGAACGATGCTTGAGAAAATAGATCCATGTAAAGCGAGAAAAATCATCAACAAAAATAACAAAGTAACGAAAACCATTCATAGAAGCAACCGGAGAAGGACCCCAAATATCAGAATGTACCAAACCAAAAGGTTTATCAACAGTTGACAAATTCTCAGAAAAAGAAAGAGCTGAGTGTTTCCCAAGTTTACAATGAAGACAACTAAAAGACTCAAAATGACCTGGACCTAAAAGACCTTTATTATATAAAGAACGAACTTTATTCGAAGACGCATGCCCAAGGCGAAGATGTCATTGAAAGCTGGACTTATTATCGATGACCGGAGCAGAAAAGGAGGGAGAACGAGGGATATGAAGAGACTCAAGCTCAAATAACCGACCCATCTTGCGACCCGTCCTGAGAAGCCGACCCGTCTGTGTATCCTGAAGCTGAACACCAGAAGAGGAAAATATAACATTAAGACCTTGTTCAACTAATTGACCAACAGAAATAAGATTTAAGGCCAAGTCAGGAATGCCGTACGTGTCAGGAAGGTGTAAAGAGGGGGAAGAAACCAAACCAGTGTGAGTAATATTCATATGAGTACCATTGGCAGTATGTATAAGAGGTAAAGAAGTTACGGGGGACGAGGAAGACAAAAATTGTAGACTAGGGGTCATGTGATTGCAACAACCAGAATCAAAGTACCAATGAGGGTTACCTGCAGTAGCAGACATAACAGAATTGGAATGGATAACCTGTTTGAGAATAGCTTCAATATCTTGAAGAGAGTAGGACGAGTGCTGAGGCTCATTAGTGACAGCCGCTGTAACAGATAAGGGGGCCGATGAAGAAGACCCACGAGACCCTCGATATCGAGAAGAAGAACCTTCCGAACGTTGTGACTTGGCTGGGCAATTCGGAGCAATATGTCCCCGAGCACGACAGATGTGGCACTCCACTTTAGGACAAGTGGCAAAAGAGTGACCAGAGTTCTTGCAACGCCCACAAGAAACAGAGACTGGTGGCCGAGGCGGATGTGATGTAGCGGAAGCAGAAGTAGGCACAGCTAATGCAGACTCAAGCTGTGGTGTCCTGGCCAACTGAAGACGAGTCTCCTCAAAAGTGATCTCTTGAATAGCAGCATCAAGAGTAAGTAGCGGATGACGATGTAAGAGAGAAGCCCGAACAACTTCATACTCTGGACGAAGAGCCATCAAAATCTGGATAAGATCAAGGTGGTCCGGACTAATCTTAGCCTGTCGGAGACGATACCGAATAGGTTGAACTTGTGCAAGAAACTCATTAACCGATTGACCCGGCTGTTGCTTAGTGGAATGCAAGGTGCTCCAAAGCTGATAATAGTGAGCCAAGCCTGTAGTCTGAAATCGAGCAGCCAAAAAATTCCAGGCCTCATTTGCACTGTCAAACGGGGCAAGTTGTACCTGAATAGCAGGAATTGAAGTATTACGTAACCAAGTAAGAATCTGATGGTTCTTACTATCCCAATCCTCCAACTTATCGACGTAGGTGGCAAGAGGCTGTGGTGTGGGGCCGGAATCCCCTGAAGAAGACGGCTGCACAGGTGGCAACACATCACCAGTTACAATCCGCCACAATTTGCGCCCAATTAAAAAACTCTTCATAGATTGAGCCCAAAGACTGTAATTATCCCCTGATAAGACAACACTAATAGGAGAATGCACATCCATACGATCCATATCCAAAACGCAGATCGACACAATATCACGAAGCAGATGAAAAATAAAGGCACAAAGCAGATCACGAAACCGTCCAAAATATAAATATAGGCCGAAATAAAAAAGTCACGAAAACCAAAACCAACCAC